AAACTTGTAATTTATTATGTTTCTGACTATAAATAAAGAGTTTGGTCGAGACTGGTTTAAGTCATACTGAGTAATAATCACTGCCCAACTCTTATTTTCTTGGTAAAACATTTAAATACTGCGCAATCCATGACTCCCTTGGTAGTCTTTTAGCACCTAAAAAGATCTGACTCCTGTAGAAAAGGGTTCCACTTTTGTTAAGTGTAAATCAGATTTGCATGACAATGGGATGCTCATTCTGCTTTTGTTTTAACTTGACGTCATCAAATCATGTATGTTTGGTTTATATCTCACCGACGGCTTCGATAAATGCTTATCTAAATGAGAGAGAGAGAGAGGCCATACCCGTTCTGAAATTCTGCCTCTGGATTATCTGCATATTCATATACTTCTTGATTTGAGAAACAATTGGCAGATTTAAAATTTAGCAATGTCACTATTCCTTCTGAAGTGTGCTGTTGCTACGTATACTCATCAACACAGGTAAAGAATAATGCAGTTCAGCTGAAGCTACAAAATTATAGTACAAACAGTACAGCTTTGCTATAGCCTAATTCATGGGGTTTTGTTTAAAAAGTCAAATATTGGGCATGCATACATTTTTACTTGCTCAATTTTTCAGTGTACCTCTGCCACAGTAGCTCAAAAGAGATTAAAACAGAAAAATAACCTACATACACACAAAGCACAAACCTCAGGTTGTATGTAAGCTACTGCGCTGGCACGAATGTGGTTTAATTCTTGGCACCAGCAGCTCGCTGGAGAATTACAATATGCTGGCATGGGGCTCCAGCTCTCATTGTTGCAGCCCAGGGAGTCGGTCTTAAGAGGGTTTGGCACTGGAGGGAAAACGGAGTGAGAGTTACAGGGAATGAACAGGCCCTAAAGAGGCAGGATGCGGCCGTAACAATGGCTGGCAAGTTCGGGGGTGGTTCTCTGGTGGGGACTGCCATAGGCAGTGATGTGAGGAATCAAATGTGAGCCAGAGAGAAGAGAAAAGCAAGCCAGAGAGTCTAATGGATGCTGACGGCAGGAAGAGGCGTGAGCGAGTTCAACTCATCTGAACGTGTAGACTGAGGATGGACTCATCCCAGGCTCTAATATTCCAAAGCTTATCTTTTCACATTATCTTTACTTATTTTGCATTTTCTTTTAAAATGCATGTGTTTAATATTCTCCTAAAAAGACAGATCCTAGAAGGGAGAGCCCTGGTTTTCATAGTCTCTGTTGTGCTTTCCTCAACCACAGCACAGAACAGGCTATTTCCGCATACTGCTGTCAAAGGTGTGTTCCATCTGCCAGCATTCCTCAGGCTGAGGCTCCGCCCAAAGTCGCCGCAGACTCTTGCAGTGACTTTCTCTGAGGGAGCCTGGTATTGAGTGTAACTATGATACTGCACTGTTTGGAGAATGAAGTCCTGAGCGTTTAAACCAAGAAATGCACATCACACCTGGTGGCACCTGCTTTAATCTCTGTCCTTAAAAGACAGGGCACAAAGATTCTGTGAGCTGGGGGCCAGCCTGGTCTACATAGTCCAAAAAGAAAAAGAAAGAAAAGAGAAGAGAAAAAGGTCAGTTGTCAAACCATGAACAGAACGGAGTTTCCCAAGAATGCAAGGAGATGCCAGCCATAATTCAGCATAAAACTCAACTCCGTCTTTAAAAGTAAATCTCATTTTTGAAAACTAAACATTGCATGTTAAGCCACTACCTTTTTTTTTTTTTTACACCATAAATAGTGAGTGGTACTGACTGAGCTGTGGTAGACATCCCTTTCTTGAATTCATGCAAGGAAACAGGTGATTGTAAATGCTGGGATTTTGCCATCTTGTCTTCTGTGTTTCTCATCTTAAATCTTCCTGTTGTCTCCTGAGAAGCTTAACCGGAGTGGAGAGCATTGGCCTCCTCATGGCTGGAGACCATTTGCTAGCACTGCTGTTGGAACTGCCGGTGGAGACCGAGGCCTTGGCAGGAGACGCACGTACTAGCCCTCTCTATGAGACAGAAATTCATTAGAAAGCTGATGTAGGTGAAGACAGAGTGCACGGAGCCCACCTCTTCGCAAAAGTTACCGGCTATCCTAAGACAGGTGACAGTCTGGCATGCGCCTTACTCATTGCCCAGTATTCTTTCAAGTGTATAAGCAAAAGGGGTAATTTCATTGTACATGCTCACCAGATTTTTTAAACCATCCAGTACAAACAATAGCACAAAATCATAGAATTAGATTAAGTTCTAATGCTAATGAGAACTGTAAAAAAAATTGGCCTTTTAATCACATGGTTAATGCTCATACAAGCATGCTATTCTGGAAAGCTCCCTTTACTCTTTGCTGTTTTTCTACTCCAGCAGAGTTTAGAGTGATTCCTACCATCTAGAAGTCTTTCACAGAGGAAATGGGGTGGTGTGTCTCTGTCCATGTGTGGGCATGAGTGTCTACACCCCAGACAGCAGGCTGTGAGGTCTGCACTCAGCTTCACAAAGGGCAAGGACTGGGAACTCTTAAGCTTTGTTTATTTTTTTTTTTAAATAACAGAATAGGTGTGTATCAATCTGTGAGAAGTTTGCCAGACCCCGGGGAAGAGATTTGCTTTGTTGCTCAGCACTTAGCTTTCAAAATGGGGGCTTTCTTGTCTTGTCATTGTGCATTAGGGATGTCAGGAGCAAGCAAACCCTTACCGAAGACATTACTCTTTCCCATCCTGTATTCTAAAACCTCAGGCTGCTCTATGCCTGATTTCTTTGTGTGTCTTTCTTAGAATCCGCAACAGATGCCATCACACCTTCTCAGACGTCTGGAGATGGTGGATTGAAGAAGGGAACAGAAGTAGAAGCAGCTAGCAAAGTCCCCAGGACAGAGGCCACTCAGTACATATATTTGGATGTGAGGTGCACACCTCACTGAAGTTGTTGCTCATAGTCATTCTTAGATATGACAACCCTGAGTTAAATGTATTTTGATTTTCCATTTTCACAAACACTCCCCCTTTGGTCTTCCCCTTTCCTTCCTCCCTCTCTCCCTCCCTCCTGTGTGCTAAGTTGAACCAGCTCCCTGGGAGCTTTATATCTTAATGCTTATTAATAAGGAGGCCAGAATTGTTCTGCAGGTTCCACAAATCTGGTTGCTGTTTCTTTAACTCTGCAACTTAGACAGAAGACTTCTGTCCCTTTATGAGGTGGCGACAGTAGATATTTTGTCTAGCTGCAAGGGAAAGGCATTGCCATGACCCGGGAGACAATAGCTTTAAAAGTAAAAAGATCTGCTTGTGGAGCAGGGAGGTTCAGGGCCCATTGTTAGTCCACACTGGATTTCTATTGCTGCATTCCTGCTTTGCAAAGGTTTGTTAGCTTTTAATGACTGACAGAACACTCCTACAAATACCATATTGGCCATGCCCTGTTTACATGCTACTCAAGCTTTTTTTTTTCTTTCTTTTTTCTTTTTTGAGCCCTGGATAAAGAAACGGGTTTGTTTGACCTACTCTGATAAGGTTTAAGAACTGATTTTTCCCAACACTCCTGGGAATGTGCACACTCTGAAGTTCCGTGCAGAAGTGTTTTCAATTTACTTTCGGCATCATGATGCAAGCGGAAACACCAACTACAGCACCAATCTGCACTCTGGCGGATCGGAGCCTTGCTGGTGTCATTTCCTCGGGGGTGGGGGAGAATGGTATTTTAAGAAAATATACAAGTAAGCTCATTAGGATTTTCCTTCAGTATTAACTATAAAAATAGGTATTTTATGACAAATAGAAACACATATTATGACCATATATTATGAATGGAACCTACTTATGTGTACATATATGTAGACACAATATAAAATAGTAACTGATACCGCTTGCTATTTAAATGTCCACCGATCATTTCTGACATCTTAGGAACACTCCACACTTAACCCCAGCCTTAGGACAGATGGAGTCTCCAATAAGTTCACAAGTCCTCCCTTTGTGTTCCTCCCGGGGGGTAAATAATCATTGGGACAAACAGAAACACACATAAGCAACAGTGTGGAGAAGGCAGTGAGTGTCTGAGCCACAAGATAATCAGTGTGGTGCTGTTCCCTCGATGAAGCCTAGGGGGCCACTTATCTTTCAGTACTGTGAGCAAGGCTAATGGTGGAATTGAAATGCATTGTCATTGTGTCCCAGTTTGATGCCGACATGAGCATGCAATCCATTGTTTGGAGCTGAGTCTAATATCCACTGGCTTTATTACAGTCGTATTTACTTATAATTCAGGCTCAGTCCAAAAGGGAGAGGGCAGGAAGAAGGTCTCTACAGAAACAAACCACTCTCTGTAGCTCGTGACCTTGCTCTCTAAATGGTGTCCATCCTGTCCCAACATGGGGCATTTGAAAAAAGCGTGATACAAATCTGATATAGGCCAATAATACATTTGCATTAGAGGCATTACTCCGTTTGCCCGATTTTGCAGCCTTTAAAAGCTTCTTCCACGTCAACTTTGTGTTTGTTTGTTATTTTCGGTGTTCAGTGTGTCCTCACGACCCTGCCCCGGCGCGGTTACCGCCACGCAATGTTACACATACTGTAAAGCGCACGTAATTGTAAGTACACAGAGGTGCGTAATTCCATGTAGCAGGTTTAAGGGCTAATTCTTTGCCTTTTTTTTTCACTCTGCATTTTATCAACATAATTATTTTCTGAGTGCAGACTAACACTCTGAAATTGACAAGCATCCATTATAGCGAGAATTTATTCACCAAATTGTAAAACAATGAGCTGTGGGTTTACATGAGCCCATTGTCATAAAGAATCAGCATGGCTTTGTTCCGGAAGGAGAAAAAGCTAATGGTTTCGAAACAGCAGGTGACCAAGCACATTCCTTTTATCCTCCCCTGTTATCAGTTTGTTGATGAAGTCATTACGAGCTGGGGCCAGGACCAGGATGGCCTTATTCTTAGCTGGTCGGCTTCTGTGCGCCCCGCTGAAGTAGTCATGCTGACTTGCTTGTATGTGTGCTTTTTCTCCACCTCAGATACCTCCAGTATTGAGAAGCTACTCTCCAAGGACTGGAAGGACAAGCTCCTGGCGATGGGATCGGGGAACTTTGGAGAAATAAAAGGTAGGAAGTATGTGCTACTTTTATCTAGAATGCTCAGAAAGGACGTTGCTATTTATAAGTATTAGTGGTTATGAAATACTTCTGTCCCAGCTCCTTCGCCCCATGCGTGTGCTTGAGACAGGTCTTCCAGATGGAAATAGATCACGCTTGTCTGTGTGTCCAGCTTGCACTGTATAGGATCAAGAATGGTGTTTATTTTTTCTTGTCCTAACTGCACAAGCCTACTCTATCTGTGGTCTACTCTGTCTCTGCTTTTCCTCCTCCTATTTGACTTGAATGGTTTACTTCAAAGGTAAGAAGATATCAACAGCACACCCAGGTTAGAAATGGTGTCTTGTCAATTATAATTCACATTCTCTATCTGAAGTATGCATACTTATTATGGGCAGTTGGAGCCCACAGCCATCAGCAAGGCAGGCGTAGCACAAGGATGTTTCAAGTCAGTGTCAGCAATGTTCTGCTTTGAGCTTATTTGAGTCATCAATTACAACTAATAAAAGCTTTCTGTGGACCTCAGAAGACACGGAATATTCATATCTTAACAAACTTCCAGTAAAAAGGGAGGAGATTTAATTTTCTCATGTAGAAATGAAAGCAGATGGTCATTTCGATTAGTTTTAAACGGCCACTTCTCAAAGCAGGGTGGGCAGTGTCCCTGTTGCTGCCCCAAGGACACCTGTGATTCTAAATCCTAAAGCAATATTAATTTTGAGACTGTCAAGCTACTAGACCATCAATGCTATCATATTTGTTTATAAATTGTGGTACTTACCTTTAAGAGCTGCTAAATGTAAATTTCAGAATCTCCAGATTACTATTAGCATATATGCAGACACGTGTCTGAGCAACTCTGTGGTGTATAGATCAAAGTGACAGGCCCTCCCTTGAGGTTCTGCCTCTTCCAAGTATCCTAGAGAAAAAGCAAAGCATTTGTCTTTTCCACTATGTCTCCTATAGACAGTTTGTATCTCTCTGGCTGTTAGGAAAGTTCCAAAAAAACATTTGACTGATGATTTCACTTGTCTTGTCAGTCATTTGAAGTTGCATGCATTCTGGCTTTGGAGGGTTGTGAATGGGTAGTGAGAATGAGTGAGCGTTCATCAACAAGTTTGATGACCAACATCTATTTTGGAAGAAAATGTAAATGAATAATTAGCATGCCTCAGATCTTGGCAGAAGTTAAGGAGGACACAAAGAAAAGCTTTGCTTCCCAGGAAAGCAAGCCCTTCACCTCACAGTTTTTGGTGGACTTTTAACCCATGGCCCCTGAGGCCTGGGATTTATAGTCCCTGCCTCTGTTTCCCTCCACTGACCTCAGCCATCACCAAGAGTGGCTCAGAGAGGACTGACTGCCTGCTCCAAGACTTGTAATCTCAGCTTTCCCTCCTCTTCCTTCTCAAGTCGGACTTGAAAGCCTCCACAGCAGTGCTGATAAGAGCAGAGGACAGAGGCTTTGTGCTGGCCTTTGATGCTAGCCTGGGGGTACTGTAGGACTCTCCAGCGCAATCACAAAAGAAGCCTCTGTCTTTAATTTTGAGTTTTCCAAGCTTCACATTTGGAGCCCAAGTTCAGTTATTGTCCTCTGGTTCTGTTCAAAAAAGCTGTTTCCAGAAACGTTTTGAAAGCAACTGTACTTCTTTCTCCTGCAGAAGCATGGCTATTAGGTGCTCGGCTCAGGTTTCCCAGGGAAGTGGGGAAAACAGCTTTGGGTTGCTTTGCCTGCTGGCTGTGTGTGACAGTTGCAATTACGAATCATTGTTCCTAGGTGTAGAGGCTACAATAGAAGATTGCCTCTGGGGGTAAATGAATTTGAGGGGGGGCAGGCAAAGAGTATGCCGTGCCCAGGAATGTGGTTTCTAGCCACCTCAGAAGAAGTCAAAGAACAATGCTCCCTTGTTTCTGTAGCTGTTTTATCCCAGGCAGAGTAAGGTGTGAGGCTCACATGGTAGTCTACTGTTTCTGTCCGGGGACAGAAGGAGTGGTTCTGTGGGCTTTTTCAAAATCTGAAAGCATGACCGTGCTGAACAACTGGTTGGTTTCTTGGAGATCATTTCAAATAGTAGACTAGAATAGAACTTTCACATTTGTGAGGGCGATGGTGCGCGTATGTCAGCTTCACAGTGTTTACTGGATCTTCTCATGTGGTAAGTGCCCCTCCATATATCTTGGCCAGTTTAATTTAAATTTTCATTGAATATGGGAAATGAACATAATTAGAGAGGGGAGAGAAGGAGGGAGGAAGAGAAATGAGAGAGGGAGAAGGAGAGGGAGAAGGGAGCATCAAGAGAGTCTCTTGCAGATTTAACACTGTAGCCAAGCCAGTGGCTAAACTCCATTCTTCAGTACTTCAGCTTTAAGATACCCAATGAGTAACTTTCAAGGTATTTGAATAAATTTATAGAGTCGCAACTTGGAAAGTTTACAGAAATGTTTCTCATTGTTAATACTCAAAGTAAGTGTCAAACTTCTCTTCAAGTAAGGAGGATATGTAGGGTTTGATGTGATACGTTGGCTGTCCACAAATAGTTGTGTTTAATGTCTATCTCGCTATTTTCCCCTCAAGAAACAATGTTAGTGAATGTCACTGCTCTCTGGGAGAATGAGCCTACTTGTCTCTTATTGTTACATTTACTTGTGTGTGTGCACGTGCAGAAATGCATACACGCACCTGCACATGCGCTGTGTGTAGGTCAGAGGGTGGATGCCTAGAAGTCGGTTCTCTCCTTCCATCAAGTAGGCTCTAGGATTCAGACTCAGTCCTCAGGCTTGGCAGAAAGTGCCTTTAGCCACAGAGCCATGCCGCTGGCCTCTGATTTTCCTTTTTAAAATGGTAGAGCATTTCTCCTGGTGTTGTACCATTCTATACTCTGGCGCTTTGGAGATGTGACACATTCGGGCTTGAAAGGCAGAGTAGAAATTGCCCTCGTGCATACATGCAAGGCTCACAGAATCTCGTTTTAGGGAAACAGTTGGTCTGCAGAGCTCTGCCAACAACAGCCGGTCAGTTTGTGCTACCCTCCAAAGAGCTGCCTGAGGAAATGGTTTTGTCTCCTCTCCTCAGACATACTGCGTCACCGGGCAGCTCTCAGAGTCCTTCTCTGTCGTCTGCAGCAGAAGCTCCGAGCAGCAGTGGCAAGCAAGGAGACAGATGCTTTTCGTAGCCTGGTGGTGACTGGGGACGGGGAAGTGGTGAGCGCTTCCAGCTGGCTGCGAGTGATGCCCACAGCAGCTCAGCTAGGATGGAATTCCACGACAGTGAAGGTCACTGAATTGGCACCTCACCTGAGGTCAGCGTCTGGGGATCCGTGGCAGCTTTGACTAGTCTGAACAGATCGTTCATTTCTCAGTCAGGCAACTGCAAACACTGTGTATTATTTGCAACACGCACTTGTAGAATATAACAGCCATGTCTACTTACAGCCATCTCTCCTTTATTTATCCTATTGCTGTAATAGAAGCGGGGCATGGGGAGGGAGGCTCGCTGGCCAGGTTTCTTAGAAGAACCCAGGACAAGGACACTAATGGACTTGCATGGTCTTACCCAGGACTCCAGGGTTCTACTGTATTAAGTCTTCCAAAATGTTATACATGCAAAGTAGAGGTAAATGCCAACTGTGCTAAATAATATAAAAATATGGCTATTTCAAGTCCATAATTTTGCTCATTCTTGAGAGTGGGACAAACTGAACTGCAGGCGAACACTGAACCGCTCTGGATTCGTGTCAATAATCCTTTGGGCTATACAATTGCCTTTGAGCTCAGGAATTAAGCTCAGGCTGTGTGGAGTCAATACCCGGATTAAGATAATCCCTCAGGTGATGTACATTTTTGAAACAGACAGGCATATGAGTATGTCCCTTGAAGGAGATAATTTTTAAGTTTAAATGGCATTAGATAGCTTGAAAATAGTTGGGAGCAGAACAGAAATCAGACACAAGTTTTTTGTTTGTTTGTTTGTTTCAAGTAAGAGATATAATTCCTGGTGAGAAAGCATGGTCAGTTGGTAAAGGGCTTGCACTGCAAGACTGAGGAAACGAGTTCAAGTCCCAGACCCATGGTTAAAAACTGAGCTGGATCTGCTATCTTGGTTCTTATTTCAGCACCAGAATGGTGATAGGTGGATCCCTGGCATCTCAGGGCCAGCTAGCCAAGACTACTTGTCTTGTTCTGGGCTGTTAAAAGACCCTGTCTCAGTGGCACAGTTGGACTCTATCTGAGAAATGACACAACTCATGTAGAATTCTGGAAATCTGAAACATAAACAAAAACATCAATATTTTTATTTTTCTTGCATGGATCACTTGGAAAGGTTTCTGGAACCCATTCTTTTAGAGCCTGTACTTTTAGGGTCAAAAGCATCACCGTGAGTAACCGTGTGAGGGCTGTATCTGCACACGACTGGAAGCCTGTAAGTCTGCACTGTTTCAGCAAGGCAGGAATGTTGACTTCCTGCGAAGGCTGTCTCATCTTGTCACAGAGTGTAAGGTGTTGCTCATAAAAGCACAAAGCCCCTGATAGGGGAGGTCGTCCTCCCCTTCCATCTGACCCAGCCTATCAGGTCTTATCAGGACTGTCTTTCATAGTCTTCCTCTGTGGCCTGGTAAGGCTGCTCCCTGCTCAGGGGAAGGTGATGGAAGAGCCAGTCACTGAGTTCATGTCAGAGACAGCCCCTGTTCCCATTAGGAGAGAACCCACTTGGACACTGAGCTGCCATGGGCTACATCTATGCAGGGGTTCTAGGCTATCTCCATGCATGATCCTTGGTTGGAGTATCAGTCTCAGAAAAGACCCCTGGGCCCAGATTTTTTGGTTCTGTTGTTCTCCTTATGGAGCTCCAGACTCTTCCAGGTTTTTCTATCTCCCCCATCTTTCATAAGATTCCTTGAACTCTGCCCAAAATTCGGCTATGAGTCTCAGCATCAGCTTTAATCCCCTGGGTAGAGTCGTTCTTGTTCCTTGTTTTCACCTTCTTCTGATGTCTGTCCCGTTTGGGTTTCTGA